CTAATTGTAGAATATTTTCATTGCATTAAAAGCAAGGCCTATACTAGTTAAGAATCATTTTCTATTGCCTCTTCCCTTCAGAATAGGACAGACACTAATTGGCATTCTTTTCTCTGACTTTTATTCTAGCCATTTCATGTACATGGAATGACAAAATATGAACTATATTTATCTGACTTTTTTCACTTAGGATGTTTCAAAATTCATACTTTTGCATGTATTGATTCCTTTCACTGTGGTGTTTAATTTTATGTGTCAACATGATTGCCATGGTGTGCCTAGATTAAATGTTATTTCTGGGTATGTCTGGAGATTGCACTAAATGGTTAGCTAAGCTGCCTCATTGAATCTCTGCTTCTGCCTCCATTTGTTTGGTTGTGGGATCCTCAAACTAACACTACATCCCTGTGTAGTTGCATGCCCTAGATAACTGCTCACCAAGTCAGAAACAATTGTTAAGTTCCTAATGTGATTTTTCCAAAAGCCCTGTGACCAAATCTCCCCCACTTCCCAGGACCTGCCACTTGTTCACCCTTAGATAAGACCCCTGTAGATCTACAAAACTTCCTCTTTATGGTAAAAATTGACTGATATATGCATTTGCATATTATTTTGGAAAGAACTGACATTTTCATCTTCATGAACACTGTATATTTTTCATTTAAATATTTATAATTTATTTCATCAGTACCACATAGTTCTTTATATATTATAATATACATGTTATTATATGATAACAATCATTGTGGATGGTGATTGCAGCTATGAAATTAAAAGACACTTATCCTTGGAAGAAAACCTATGACAAACCTAGTCCACTCAGCCCACCAGCTCCTCTGTCCATGGGATTTCCCAGGCAAGAATACTGCAGTGGGTTGCCATTGCCTTCTCCAGGGGATCTTCCTGACCCAGGAGTTGAACCGGGGTCTCTGCATTGCAGGCAGATTCTTTACCAACTGAGCCACCAGGGAAGCCCATGGCAAACCTAAACAGCATATTAAAAAACAAAAAAGCGGAGACATCACATTGCCAACAAAGGTCCATAGAGTCAAAGCTATAGTTTTTCCAGTAGTCATAAATTGTGGTGCTGGAGAAGACTCTTGAGAATCCCTTGTACAGATCAAACCAGTCAATCCTAAAGGAACTCAATCCTGAATATTCATTGGAAGGATTGATGCTGAAGCTGAAGCTCCAATACTTTGACCACTTGATGAGAAGAGCTGACTCATTGGTAAAGACACCTGATGCTGGGAAAGATTGAAGGCAGGAGGAGAAGGGGATGACAGAGGATCAGATGGTAGTATGGCATCATCACTTCAATGGACATGAATTTGAGTAAACTCCAGGAGATGGTGAAGCATGGGAAAGCCTGGCATGCTGCAGTCCATGAGGTCTCAAAGAGTCGGTCATGACTTAGTGACTGAACAACAACATTTGATCATAACATGTAAGCATGATCACCATTGTACTTTCAGATTCTATGGGAAGTACATTAGGTACTTCATATAGTAGAATCATGGCTTCCCTGGTGGCTCAGATGGTAAAGAATCTGCCTCCAACACAGGAGACCTGGGCTCAAATCCTGAGTCAATATATTCCCTGGCGAAAGGAAGATTCCCTGGAAAAGGAAATGGCTCCCCACTCCAGTATTCCTGCCTGGAGAACTCCATGGGTAGAGGAGCCTGGTGGGCTACAATCTGTGGAGTCACAAAGAGTTAGACATGACTAACAAGGGCTTCCCTAATGATTCAGATGGTAGAGAAACGGCCTGAAATACAGGAGACCTGGGTTCAATCCCTGAGTTGGGAAGATCCCTTGGAGAAGGGAATAAATACTCATTCCAGTAGTCTTGCCTGGAGAACTCCATGGATAGAGGAGCCTGGTGGGCTACATTCTATGGAGTCACAAAGAGTTAGACACGACTAATAAGGGCTTCCCTAAATGATTCAGATTGTAAAGAAACAGCCTGAAATACAGGAGACATGGGTTCAATCCCTGGGTTGGGAAGATCCCTTGGAGAAGGGAATAAATACTTACTCCAGTAGTCTTGCCTGGAGAATTCTATGGACAGAGGAGCCTGGCAGGCTATAGTTCATGGGGTTGCAAAGAGTTGGGCATAGCTGAGGTACTAACACTTTTTTACATTTATGCCTGAATATTTCATCATATATATAAACTACATTGTTTGTGATTTTGTTTGTTTGTATTTAAACTTTTATTGAAGTATAGTTGGTTTACAATGTTGTGCTAGTTTCAAATGTACAGGAAAGTGAATCAGTTATATATGTTTATGTATATATATGTATGTATATATGTATATGTGTGTGTATGTATGTATATATATGGACTTCCCCTGTGGCTCAACTGGTAAAGAATCTCCCTAAAATGCAGGAGACCTGGGTTGGGACGATCACCTGGAAAAGGGAAAGGCTACCCACTCCAGTCTGACCTGGAGAATTACATGGACTGTATAGTCCATGGAGTCACAAACAGTCTGACATGACTGCGCGCCTTTCACTTTCATATGCATATATATGCATGTAAATTCTTTTTCAAATTCTTTTCCCATGTATATTTTCTATAGAATATTGAGTGTAATCATGAGTAGAGTTCCCTGTGCTATACAGTAAGTCCTTGTTAGTTATCTATTTTATACATAGTGAAGTGAAGTCGTTCAGTCCTGTCTGACTCTTTGAGACCCCATGGACTGTGTAGCCCACCAGGCTCCTCTGTCCATGCAATTTTCCAGGCAAGAATACTGGAGTGGGTTGCCATTTCCTTCTCCAGGGGATCTCCCTGACCCAGGGATCGAACCCGGGTCTCCTGCATTGCAGGCAAACGCTTTACCATCTGAGCCACCAGGGAAGCCCATTTTATATACATAGTAGTGTGTATATGTTCATTCCAACCTTCTGATTTATCACTTCTTCCCACATTTCCCCTTTGGTAACCAGAAGTTTGATTTTGAGATATGTGAGTCTGTTTTATTTTGTAAATAAGCTCATTTGTATAATTTTTATTAGATTCCACATGTAAGTGATATCATATGATATTTTACTTTGTCAGTCTGACTTGTGTCACTTAGCATAAGGATCACTTATTTTCATGTATACAAACCATATTTCCTTACTTAGGCATACATCCATGTACATTTAGCTTTTTTTCACATCTTAGATACTGTGAATAATTCAGTAATGAACATAGAAGTGTGTATATCCCACTGAGATCCTATTGTCAGTTTTTGGCAGTAAATAACCAGAACTGCGACTGTTCTACCATGCAATAATTCTACTTTCAATATTTTGAGAAACCTCCCTACTCTTTCCACAGTGGCTGCACAATTTTATATTCTCATAAAGGAGTTCGCAAGAGTTCCAATTTCTTGATATTCTCACCAACAAATGTTTGCTCATTTTTATAACTGCCATAATAACAGGAAGTGAAAAAATATCTCATTGTGATTTTGAGTTGTCTTTTTCTGATAATTAGTGACATGGAGCATCTTCTTATATATCTGTTGGCCATTTTTATGTCTTCCTTCAAAGGAGTGAAGAAAATCATAACATGTATTGTGAATCTGTAGTTTTAAAATGGTAGTGTTTTTTTTAAATTAATTAATTAATTTTAATTGGAGGTTAATTGCTTTACAATATTGTGGTTGTTTCACCATACATCAACATGAATCAGGGTGTACAGGGTGTGGTGTTTCAAGATACTGGAAATGCAGAATTGCATTTTTTTATTCCTGAGAGGTAGCATTAGATGAACCCATAAAGAACTTCATTTGTTATTGTGGAAGTCCTTAGTGAGATGGACAGAAGCAATTTCAGTTCATGGAAGGGATGACAGAAAGAAAAACTAGGGAAAGAGTGATTTTAAGTTGAGGAGACAAAATGGAGAGGATGTTGAAAACTCGTTTTAGAAGTTTAGAGGTCAAGGTGAACAGAGAAAAGGGATGATACAGGGAGGATAATTGCAGTTTAGGGGGTAGAGTTGTTCTGTAGGATTTTACAAGATAGTAAAGAAAAACAATTAAATAATTCAATGCAGTTTGGTGTGTGTGATTAACTGAATTGGGGAGAGACAATGTGTGTTTTTTTCAGTTGAAAAGAGAGATAAAAGAAAAGATTCAGTTTACTCTAAAATTCTTATATATAATTGACTAAGTTCTGAAGAAACTAATAAAAAGTACCATTTCCTTTAGCCCCTCCCTTGTTTATTAGTTTGGAATAATCTTAATGATTAGTCCCTGACTTGTTTATCAGAATTTTAGTTATCTGAAAGATTTCATTTTATTACATTAACAATTGCAGATAAGATGAAAAAAGCCAATTTTGATCCAATCTCATGCCGTTCTTATAAAAATAAGTTATTTTGTTTTTGTAGATTTGCTTGAGACTTATCTACCTCACCTTCCAGATTGTGTGATTTCAAATACACTTTCAAAGGAAAATGAACACCAGATTAGTCTGTAGTATAACACCGTGTGTAGTCTGGCTAAGAGAGACCTATTCAGTGTAAAGTAAGATTCTAATAAAATTCCCAGAAACTTAAAATTCATCATAGGATATTTCCTACCTTTTCCTTGGAAATAAAGAGGTATTTTGTTAATGATTAAAAGCAGAGAGTATATATTTTCAGGGGAAAGTCACAACTGGCTATCTGATTATTAAATTCACTATTTAAAACAAAATCATGTCCTCGCATTTTATTCTTCTTTTTATGAAAAATGGTCTAATTTGTTTATGTTCAAGAAAACTTGGGTTAGTTATTAGACTGATCTTTCACAGCCATGAGAAATAAGAAATTCATAGAAAGATTGGTGGGTGTGCAGGTGATACTGAGATTCTCACGACAGGACATGCATTTGGAGATGCACTTACTACTAGATAAGTCCCATTTTAGTGTCCAAAATAGAACTTGCAGAAAGATTTTTCTAACTCCTGTCTCAGCAGGTAACTAAAAGTCATCTTTCTCTTTTCTTTCCTGGGAATGCCCACTCAAATGTTTTGGGATTTGGTATTCTTAGAACCTGAAAGAATTCCTAAAACACAGTCTCTTATCTGCTTGGTTTTCACTCCATACACAACAGGATTCATAGTTGGAGGCAACAGTAGATAAATATTGGCTATAATGATGTGACAAGAGGGAGGCACTGTATGGCCCCCAAAGCGATGGGAAAAGAAGGAGAAGAAGGCTGGGCTGTAGGAGAAAACTATAGCACAGATGTGAGCAGTGCAGGTGCTGAAGGCCTTCCGCCGAGCTTCTGCTGAGGAGAGGCTGACCACCGCCCTCAGGATCATTGTGTAGGAGACTGTGATGCACAGGATGTCAAAGCCTCCAATCAGGAGGGCAACAATCAGACCATAGATAGCATTGACCTTGGTATTTCCACAAGACAGCTTGGCCAAAGACATGTGGTCACAATAAGTGTGGGGGATTACATTGCCTCTGCAGTAGGGCAGGCGCTTGATGAGGAAAGGGAAGGGAATGATGAGCAACACCCCTCTGAGAAAGGTGGAGAGACCCGCCTTTGCAATGACGGGATTTGTGAGGATAGTTGAGTAGCGCAGAGGGTAGCAGATGGCCACGTAGCGGTCCAGCGCCATGAGCATGAGCACCCCAGACTCCATCCCTGTGAAGGTGTGGACGAAGAACATCTGGATCAGGCATCCATCAAAGCCAATTTTCTTGAGATGAAACCAGAAGATGGAGAGGGCTTTAGGGACTGTGCTAGAGCATATGACAAGATCGGTTAGGGAAAGCATGGCCAAGAAGTAATACATAGGTTTGTGCAAGGAGTCCTCACAGTAGATGAGGTAGAGGAGTCCACAATTCCCTGCCATCGCTACAACATACATGGAGCAGAAAGGGAAGGAAATCCAAATGTGCACATCTTCCAGTCCTGGGACTCCATTCAGAATGAATGAGGGTGGGACCCACTCCGTCTTATTCAACTTTAGCATTATCAAATAGACTTAACCTTTATGTGACTTTTCCTAGAGTAAGGTAAAGACAAGAGAAAATATAGTTTATGGTTAGTTTCTCTTTTTCTGTGTTTTAAAATTCTGTTATTTGATCAGTCAACTTTCCTGAGAGACCTTGAGTATGTTTCTGTTTGTTTATTGATTAGTTCATTTATTTATTCCCTCAACAAATTTTTATTAAGCAATTCAAGTTCACATCACAGACACTGATTCAAAATTGTCTTTTAAAACTAGTTTTTCACCCTCATAGATTTATAATAAAAAGTAATTCTGTTATATCTTCTCTAAAGAGATTTTGAATAGAAAACTTCATTTGTTAATAAATATATAGATCTCCCTTTATATAATTATTATATATAACAATTTATTATATTTATATAATTTATAATAATTATATATAATTTATAATATATAAATATATTATAATCTATATATTATATAAATATATTTATTATATATTTATATAATTTATTATATTTATATAATTATTTATATAATTTATTATATTTATATAATAAATGTATAAGATGTGATCTTAGTGTCCTTTGGTCACTATACCCATGAAACAAAAGACATGAGGACTTTAAAAATTCTTATTCTTGTTTAATGCTGATCTTTGATATTTAATTATTGAGGCGCTGTTTGAAATCATTTGTAATATTAAATTATTCATTTCTCAATGGAGATTGGGGTCTCACAAATCAAAAAAATGTTTGATTTGGACTTTTCATATTTAAATTGACTCACTTTTGCCTTTTCTTATAATGATCTATGTGCACTTATTAGAATGCTTTTAATTTCTAATCAGAATAAGCTTTCAGCAATAGGTTGTAAGTGGCTAATCTTGATTAGGGTGCATAAATATATCAATGGTAATGAATCTTTCTTTTTATTATGTCTTTCTACCAATCTTTCTACTTTACCTTTAAACAGTGTCCTCTGAGATTATCTGGTATCTGTAGCAAAAACAAAACAAACTAGTTTCACACTATTATACTTTACTAAAAGAATTTATGTACTTTGCCTTGATTATGCTTGTTTCTCTCGTAATATTTATCATTCAATAAATACACTGACATCTCCAATTTTTATTGTTTTCTCATTGGTTGTTTCTGATCTTTTGAATTTACATTTTTATATATTTCACAATGGAACACACGTTAGTTGAGTCCTGGTAGGAGACAATATAAATAAATGCAACTTTACATTTGATATTTCTTATCACACATCAAATTTATTTCTCATCTAAGAACAAAATTAATTAATTCCAAATTCCGTACTTATGGCTAAATCTCATTTTCAATTTAAGTATTGAGATAAGTTAATGCTATCTCATCCTTTCATTAATCTTTTAATTTCTCATATATATGTATTGAAAATCTAAAATGTGACAATCTGAAGAACAAGGGTTTCACTCATTAAGGACATGAGAGTTAATGGGCAAATATGCATACAATTTATCACAGTAAATGTAATAAGAATTAAAATAAAACATGTGCAACCTCCTAAATGAGCACTAGACTATTAAAGTGGATGTTTATTGTTGTTGATGGGGTGTTGAAGGAGGAATTGGTGATTATAAAGAAAGACTATATTGAAGAGAAGGTGTTTGATACCTATTTGGAAAGAAAAACATGCTGTAAAGGAGACACATTTATAAAAAGAATTCCAGAGAAAAGAATCAATTAGTAAAAGTATGGAAATCAAATGACCAAGTCTGTGAGAAGTCACTGGCGAGGAGGGGATAAGTGATAATTTAGATGCTTGGCCAGGAGGTAAACCACAAAGAATCTTGCAATTATCAGATAATAGGAACTTCATGGATTCTAAATAGTAAGTGATAAATAATTCATAAATATCCAGAAAGCCATTAGTTAACTTCACGGTGCTTGGAAAGCATTGGCAGTGAATAAGCTAGAATCCTCTCCTACCTATCCCTTAAGAAATACGGTCTAGGAGTTAGGTCAGAAGAAGGAAGGAAAAAATTTAGTGCTAGTGTAGTCTCTGCTAAACGGCTAAATAAAATGAGCTTCATGCAAGCCTAAGGCTGATTGCAAACAATGGATAATAATTTAGCCAGTGGGCTCTAAATCATAAAAAATGTATGTAAGCTTTATACTTAGTAGAATGAAAATAACTCTGTGACCAATTTCCCAAGGCAAAAAACAATTGGTTTCTATTAAACACATTCTTAATAACCTTATAATTACCAGAATATGAAATAGTTTATCTGATTTTTCATAGAAACATAGTCAACTATCATGATGGAAATCCCAACAATTTATAGGATAGAAAATTGGATTCTATAATTGATTTTTGTAGTTCACTTAATCTCCTCGAGATTTTATTACATCTCAGCTTTTCCAAGATCAGGTAGTATAAGAAGAGCAGTATAGAAGAGAAATATATAGATTTTAACCTTATCTTTCCATTTCTTAAAGATATGCATGAGGATAATTTATATAACTTCCTTAAAGAACAAATTACTCATCCCTTTAAATGTGGTTAAAAATACTATTATAAGAAGTACAGAGCCCAGAAACCAAATTCTGAACCATACATTAAGCCATTTAATTTATGACAAAGGAAACACTATAGATTGGGAGATAATGCACCATTTTCAATAAGTATTACTGGATTACTTGGATATACATTGCAGGAAAAGATACACATTTTGTTCATACAACAGGTTTTTTTTTTTAATGTAGAGATAAATGTGAAATGCAATATACATATCTTCTTTAATATCTGGAATAGACCACAAAAGGTGCTACAAACAGAAAAATGACAGAGTGAATTAAATTAAAATTAATTTTTTAAATTAAAAAGCACTGCTGAAAGTGTGAAAAATGAGCCACAGACTAGGAGAAGATATTTGCAACACATAAGTTGAACAAAAATTAATATTCAAAATGTCTAAAATACTCTTACCATAGCAATAAGAAAAAGAGGGAGGGACAAATTACATAAAATATATATTTCACAAAAGAGGAAAAAAGTGACAGTAAACATATAAGTAGTCACCAATTTTTATAATAATTTGGAAAATAAATGTAATTTGAATGTCTCATGGCATAGAAACACATACCAAACTAGAGAGTTAAAATGAAAAAGCATAAAAGATACCAAGTATTGGTGAGGACATGGAATGACTGGAATTCTCATACACTACTGGTACATGTGTAAGTTTGAAATAATTTTGGCATATCTTGATGGTGAGTTTGCATATAGCCATCACATCCGTGCCAATTAAAAAGGTGTACATATTTTTGCTAAAACACATCAACTATTAATTGAATGATTATTCCAATATTATTTGTAGGTATTAATAATCTAAATCTGGAAGATATCTAAATTTCTATTGATATCAGAACAGGTAAATAAATTTTGGTGTGTTACCACAGTGAAAGAAACTTGATAATGACAATAGACATAACTACATGCACAATATGAAAAATATAAATCTCACAAATTGTTCATTTTAAAAACTAGACAAAATAGAATGTAATGTTTAACACCATTTACATTAAATACAAAAGTGGATCAAAGAAATAGGTGCTATTACACACAGAAGAGTGTTTTTCCCAGGTGTGAATAAGTGAAAAGAAGCGTGAGGAAGAGGGGTCTAGTGACATGCTGGGAATATTATCTTTCTTAATCTAGTTGTGAGAGAAATGGGTTTCTGGTTGTAAAAAATCATCAAGATGTAATTGTGAAAATTTCATATGTATGCTCTGCTATTAAAATCAGAAAATCATATTGAAGAGAACATTGAAGGAGCATACTGAAACATGCTACCACATTTTGTGTGTTCAATATTTGCATATTTTTTTCAGACTGACAGCAATTTTGGAATGCTTGCAAAAATTAATGCTCTAGAAAACCACTGAGTGCCACAAAATGAATCCTTACTGTGTTCCATCGGAGAGAATATTCATTCTACCTTCCATTAATAAATGTGGCTCTTTCAATGTCATTATCTATAGGGAATATAATCACTGAAATTCTGCATCAGAAAGTGCCATCAAGAAGTGACAGATTAGATTTGTTAAAGGTTTGTTTTGGAAAAAGTAAAGAAACACAGGTTGCACATATTGATACACACGCCCTTCACGGACTTCTTGTGCCTCTACAAAACCTAAGACGGTTATACTGACTGTCAGAGGATGCTGCTTGCTGTTTTCTACTCCTATCACACTCATTTTCTCTGCTTTGTGATATGTGGTTCTCTGCCATTTTGGTGCTCATCTTCCAACCCTCATCAAATATAGTTAATTCATATTTATTTAAAGAAAAATACATTCTTCAGAAAGAGTTGATTGTCTCTTGAGTGTGACAGTAGTGAAACATTCTATAAATAATTTTAGAATAATATATTATAAACTGCCATAATTAGAGGCAAGGAACTGATTTATTCAAATAATAATTATTTTAATTGTATTTAACTCATGGTGCTATAAAAATCAATTCATAGTGGGAATCCTCCACAATTCAGTAAAATTATTTACATTAAGGACAGTTTGAATATTTAAAAAAAGGACAGTTTGTATTTACATTAAAACCCCCAGTATCTAACCACCACCTGATACATGTCAGAAAACTTTTAAAATAAATGAACAGATGGATGAAAGAAGAAATAAAAAATGAATAGCATTTTATGCTTGACTTTGAAAATTATTAAGTTATAATCTAATTAATATTACTTGGAATGCATAAAATAAACTAGTAGAATAAAAAATACCAAGCATTTTCCTCAAGATCACTGGAGTCACATGTATAGGAAACAAACATGGTTACCAAGGGGGAAAGGAAAGGAGGGATAAATTAGGAGATTGGGATAGAAATATATATATATTATATATAAGATAACTGATATGAATTTTTGTATAGCACAGGGAACACTACTTAATACTCTGTAGTGACCTATATGAGAAAAGAATCTAAAATAGAGTGTATAGATGTATATGTAGAGCTGATTC